GCAAGTATTGAGCAACATCATCTTGCTCACTAGGCTCAATTTCTTCTTTAAGACAACCAATATAGATAGTTTCCACATCATCAGCAAGACCATCTTTCAGCTGTAAGAGAAGTGAGTCCTCATCCCAGGTGAAGTCCCATGTGCCATCATCTTTTCTGTGTGCCTTTAACGGAAGCTGGTTACCAACAACGATCATCCGATCTTGAGAGATAGATGAGGGAACATCAGAGCCAGCACTGTTGCTGGCTTCATCATCTAGTTCAGACAGTACTCCAGCAACGGTCGCCACCCGAGGAAGCCTTTTCTTCTCGCGACCAAAGGCTGGAGACCCACAGGAAGTAAGCTCTAACAAGTTAGAATACGACCTCGAAACCATTTTGATGATTTTCTCTGAAGCAGGCTTAGATTGATTGTTCACAATCCTTCAAACAACCATAACAAGGATGCAATTTCTGATGTCTGAAAACAAATTAGTACAGCAACATCAATGTTACATTGTGAGAGAAGTTCACACAAAAGCTTAATAGATTTTCTTGATAGATTAATCTATGAATCTAAAATCCTACACTAGAACCCCTTCAGTTGAGATTGATAATAATTAAATACTTTCTTTTAGACCATTGAAAAATCCTATTTCTAAGAATACCACACTCAACCGAAAAATACCCCTATAATAACAACAATTTGAGAAAATCCTAGGTAGAAACATTTGAATCTATTAACAGAATTATTATTCATTAATGCTGTTACTAATGAACTAAATCTGGAAGAACACCATCTACCAACTATTAAACTTTACCTACTGAAAAAAATATCATCCAGCAACACTGAAAATTGGCTAAACTAGCAAATCCACAAATAAAAGAACCAAGAAATGAAGAAGCTCTTTATAATATCAATTAAGTGCAAGGTAAAAAAAATCCTACCCTTGAAGTTACAAAATAGAGAAAGATGGTATAAACTGAGGGATGATAGAGACACTCACAAAAAGATTCTTCTTTTGTTCCTCTTCTCTCTCACACCTTAGTGGGCAATGGTGTCAACTCAACTATGAATACTTTTTCTTTTACTTTTGGTCTAACAAAAATGGAACTTCATAGTGATATTTTTACACTCATGACTCAACCAACAAAAAGTTGATAACTTTATGCAAGGAACTTGATTCTACAACTCTCTCTCTCTCTCTCTCTCTCTCTCTCTCTCTCTCTCCATAGACAAAGTTTAACGATGTATGTTAGTGTTGAGTAATGACATGTGTAGTACACAACACAAAGGAATCCAACATCCTTAACTACGGTTAAATTAGAATAATGAGAGAGAGATTAATTAAGTTAATTTAACAATGATGGGGTGGTGGTGGTGCCTAATTGACACCACTAAGAGACAAAGAAACTACAGCATAGCACGTGTAACGCACCAACATTTTTTCCATTTTCAAGTGTTGATTCCATCTCAATTCTCTCTTGCTATGTTGTCTGTGCCTGATTTTTTTTTTTTTTTTTTGAACTAATTGAGTAATGTTATATCATTCTACTAAATCTTTCTATTAATCATTTTACCTATAAGAAAGTGACATTTTTTTTTAGTGATTGGTTTACAAGTGACATATGTCACTTTCTTGAGAATTTAGTATGAGGATATATTATTTTCGTAATATAATTACATTCATTTGTCTTGGGAATGCTGCTTCCAAATATATTACATTGCCCGACAATTCTTATATAATGGAGTTTAATTTTATTACAACTTTTTTTTATAAATTCTCTTATATCTTATTCTATACTTATTATTTGTGCTCATAATCAATGTTCTCTAACTAACGCCCCAACAATTTTTTTTTAATTTCTCTTGTTAATTCTATAGTTGTAAAAACCGTTTCGTACCGGCTGATTGAACTGGTCCCCATATCGATACGGTACAACAATTATACCAGTCAAAACTGACCAAAACCGATCAAAACCGGTACTAGTTTTCAATTAAACCGTACCGGTCAAAGCGGTCGATTTTTATTTAAAATTAATTTTTTAATGAAAATAAATTTTTATTGATTTTCAACATTATTGTTAATATATTATATATGTATATCTAACTTCATCTGTATGCAGTTTAATTAGTAAACCACCGGTTGAACCGATATATCACTATACCAACACCCTACCCTACCGATTTGATGACAATAACACTTAATTCAATAAGGGCATAGTAGCTATAAATAATGATACAATATGTATAATAATAACAATACCTAGAATGATAACAATTGTTACAATGATTCATATTAGGGATATGAAATAAAATTATATTTTTAATGGTAAAGGCACTCCTTTTATTGACGGACAGAATCGCACCACACAATGAGGACAATTCCAAAACATTTGATGTAGATGTTTTGCATCTGTTGGTGCTTTTGTTGCATCTCATACGCCTGTCATATTTTAATAAGTGTCTGTAATGTAAATGAATTAAGATAATTTAGAATAAGGTAGTTTTGATTAAAATATCTATAATAATGTCTCTTGTAATTATTACTATTATTTTTATTTTTAAGAGAAATACTTTGAGTAATTAATATATGATAATATTAAACAAAATGACAAACAAGGACAACTACCATGAACGAGCACGTTTTGTTTTTAGGCAATAGATCCCTTTTTTGTAGACAATCAAGCAAAAGTGACTTCAGAAATTCTCTGTGGTTTTGGATATCTGGCTGCTCATCAAATCAATGAAACCATTTAGGTCATATATATTTTGTATTGAATTTTTTCGGTTTATCATATATCATTCATTTGTATTATTTTTATGTAAAAGTCAATGATGATTAAAAATGATTGTTAGATGATGTCATAACAATATAAAAACTCTTACACTATCAGTACAAATATTTTTTCTCATAAATTTATATTGTGATACATGTTACATTTTATTTTTAACCACTAAGAGAATATATCATTTCCTATTTTGTTTTTAATTTTAATTATTTCACTCTCAAGGTAGTATGTTTGGTGATCTCTCCATTATTTGAAGAGCTTGTAATTAGTGTTGTACTAATATGGTGAATAATTTGGTTGCCATTATTATTATTATTATTATTATTATTATATAATAAAGCAATTATTATTCATAAAAATGACAAGTTGCTTATTGACGTAGAGTTATAGTGTCCACTCAACTTAATGGTTCAATTCACTATCATTGTAATCTGTAATCATTGCTGATGCTGACACTACTCCTCTCTGTACTATTCATGAGTCATACATAACTCTCTTTCTCAATCACAATTTACTACATTTATTATATACTTTTATTTGTAACCATATATATTTATAGGAAATTAAAGAGAGTAATAACTTTATTTCATCTATCTGTGTTTCTTTTCTTTGACAGGTCCCCTTGGAATCTTGTTGAGAACATTAGAATCAAACTTGTTCAACAATCTCTTCATGTCATGGTTTCCTTTACTTGCTAGATATTCTACTTCATATTCATATCGCTCATACATAACAGGAAGGGTCACCAGGCACAGAAATACTGCAGAAGAATATATAGCGTATCAACACTTAACAAGATATATACAACTAAGGGATCTTTTTTTGTATGGTTTCTTTTTTTGTATGTCCAACATTTTCAACAACTTTGAGGTTTATAATATAATATAAGCTACAAGTAACATTTTTTGTAAAATGAATTTGTAAGGGATCTCACTTAAATATAGAAGAGTCAAAGTGCTGAAATAACTCCCAATTGCTGAGATGATGAAGAAACCCGAGATTATCTGAAATTAATTCAAGCATTTGATGTCAACTAACAAGTTAAATTAAAAAAATGCATGCCCTAATAGGAGATGATGAGAAAGTAATTGGAATGGTTTCTGAATACCACAAAGAAGAGTTTCATGTCTTTCCCAGTTGAAATCTCATAAAATATCCTTAACAACAAGTTGAGCTTTATATAGAAGAATCTAAAGGTGGATTCTGGTATTTCAAGATCATAAATCTCAGGAACTCTCCTGCATATTTATTCCAAACATTATAAAAGTAAGCTTTTATAATTTGGATTGCACTTATTAACAAAAAATATAGGGTTGCACAGATTAATTAAAACAAGTGTAAGGTTACATTACCATGTGATTAATCCTGCTGCATTATACCAAACAAAGAGGATGAACATAATGGCCATGAGGATGTGACAAAGTAGAGTAACAAAATTGTATTCAGCTACTTCAAAGAGAACCCAAATTATGGAGAACCCAGCTACAATTGCTGCTGATAATTTCTTGTCTCTCCATAGCAATATATCAGCAACTTCAGAATCAAATCAATCATAATTACAGAAAATTAATTTAGGCTCTTATGGACTTCACAAATAAACTACTAGCAATAATAAGATCCAATCTATATTTAACATGATAATTAGAAAGTTTAAATAAGTTTTCATTTATTAAAATATTACATTTTTTTAATTCTTATTCAGAGTTCCATCTCCTTGGTGTCTCACTTTATATAGTGTATAAGTAAATAATACACTTTTAATAGAAACTAAAACCATATAATATTTATGACGAGCAAAAAAGTATTTAAATATAATAAGAATTTACAAACATAAAAATAGTGCTTACGTTTTCCTCCACCAAGAACTACGTGCAGTGGTCTTTGACGGCCAAACAAACTTGGCATTTGTGCAGCTTCTCCAAAGGAACTCTTCATGGCTACAATTCAATTATTGAAATGTTCTTTCTAGTTTTCCCTAACTCTCCTTAACTAAATTTCTACCACTTTTGTGATCATGCACCGCGAGGCCTATATATATTAACGTACCGATGGATATTATATTATGGTTCTAAGCTTTATAACCAAGAAATCAATCAACGCATTGCATTGAGCAAAGGTATGGTTTTGGAATGGCTTTCAAGTTCTATTTCCTCGCCCTCACACAGGATTAAGATACATATCTGGGGTATCACGTTAATGTGTTATACCTTTATTAGAATGGGTTAACAACTGTTGTCACATGAGTTATTCCTATATATCTATCCTAACATATACTCAATATTAACAGATACAAATTCTAAGTGGGGTTGATATCTGTAAACTCTCATAATATTCTTTTGGTGAGGTGCAGTTGCCTAAAATGTATTTTACACGAAGATGTCACTGAATATATACCTGAATGTTCTCAAGCATCATATTCAACACCAGTATCAACCTTTCTATGTCATGTCTGTCCATGAGAACAGTGGAATATTGAAGAGGCCTCGTTAATGGTATTTTAGTTATCATTCTTTTGTGCTGTATTTTGATTAACTATATTCTGTGTCCCTCTCAACCATGATACTCAATTTTAGTTATCATTCCTTAATGGTACTAGTACATTACCTCCCTCTAGATAAAAACTACCAGATTACTTAACTTTGTTCCTAACCGACCAAAGAGACCAAATAGCGGTAAACTCGTATATATATACCCCTTTTCTGCCCTAGTGTGAATTCCTTAAGCAAACGGTTAGGTACATAGTAACAATATTTATTAACAAGTTTAATTATTATGCTTAAAAAATGGAGCCTATATATATCACAACACGACCAGTACACATAATAATACATGTTGTGAGAAAATATGTACTTCCTCAAAAAAGTAGAGGATAAGATATTGCAATCTCTTGTTGAAAATCATTTCAGACTTTACAAATATATTTTTTGGAAATAGATAAGCCTGTAACCAATTTAATTAGAGCAAATTAAAGACAGTATAGCTTATAAGCTATAACTTAATGTACACATGGCAGATCTAAACTTCATAAGTGTTAGTCTTGTTTGAAACTTCCCTTTGGAATCTGGGCTAAAACTTTAGAAGTCAATGTGTTGAACAATCTCTTCATCTCTTGGTTTACATTATCTATCTCACTTTTTTCCACTCATACATAACAGGAACGATCACCCGGCAAAATAGCACTGCAGAAAAAAAAATATATATATATAATTATGTATAGCAGATCAACATTTAACAAGGCTTAAGTAAGAAACTAGTTTATAACTATGCCATAATAAAATTAATGAGTTTGTTTGGGTTCTCACTTGTATGTATAAGATTCGAAGTTGTGAAACAATTCCCAATTACTGTCATAACAAAGAGACCAGCTAGTGTCTGAAATTCAAGCACTTGATGTCAACTAACAAGTTATTTGTGTAGTAGAATATGTGAAATTAATTGAAGTGGCTTTTTGAATACCATAGAGAAGAGTTTCAGGTCTTTCCCAATTGAAATATCATAAAATGTCCCCAACAACGAGTTCAGCTTCATATAGAAGAATCTAAAGGTGGGTTCTTGGATTTTAACATCATCAAACTTGGGAATACTCCTACAATGCAACATATTAATATTTATTTCCACATATCATAAAAAAACAAGTTTTGATAAGTAACTAACATTTATTTAAACCATTTCCGAGACAATGAAGTAGGCGATGTGAGACTTACTTTCCAACATGTCCTCCTAGACCCATAACTAAATGACATATTTTGTCTCATAACAACCAGAAAGAAATTGGACTCTCACTTGACTCTGATACCATGTTAAGGTTCCATCTCAAACCAATTGGCAATGAGAGAAGTAGTCCAACAAATATTTAAACCATTTCCGAGACAATATGGTAGGCGATGTGAGACTTACTTCCGCACAGTGTTCTAAAATGCGTTTCGCAATACATAATGCGGACGCAACAATGCGGATGCGGTCGACAACGCACCGCAATTGCGGTGTGATTGAATTTCACACCAAAAACCACAACAAACTATTGCGGCCGCATCAGGCCGCAATGCAACCGCATCATATTAAAAAATATTGTTTTAATCACAAAATATTCACACTGCAACGGCCGCAATCCGTATCGCAGTAACCGCAACCGTTACCGCAATCGCGACCTCAACTGCAATTTAAACCTGTTTCCCCTTTCGGAAAATAAAAAAGGACCACATAAATTAAGTAATACAAGTGCAAGGTTATATTACCAAGGGATTAATCCTGTTGCCTTATACCAACCAAAGAGAATGAGCATAATGACCATAAGGATTTGAGAAAGTAGAGTGATGAAATTGCATTCAGCTACTTCAAAGAGATACCAGCTGAATAAGATCACAGATCCTGAAAATATCTTGTCTTTCCATGGCAGTATATTCTCAGCAACTGCAACTCAGAAAAAGGGAAAATCCCAAGAAACAAGAGGTTGTTTTCAATTTTGTTTTTCAATTTCTAGTACGACGAACAAGAAGAGAAAAGAAAACATGGGTCGAAAATGTCTTACATTTAACTCCATGAAGGACTTGGTCCGTTACTCCTGCCATGTGTGCAGCTTCTTCTTTTTAGTTTTGCTAACCAATTTCCTAGCATTGTTGTGATTCATGCAACATGAGATATTATATATAGCAAATTATTATAGTATATTGTGGTTGTAAGCTTTATATTCAACAAATTAATCAACTCACTGAATTGAGCAAAGTTATTGTTTTGGCATGCATGGCTTTCAAGTTCTATCACGTTTTACCCCATCCATATCTGCTATCCGATTATCATCATTAATGCATGCATCTTCATTACTTATTTAAAATGATTTTATATAATTTTTAATTATGACCTGGTTATAATGGATAATGTATTTAAAATTAACAAAATTAATGTAATATATTATTGTGACTTGTCAAAATAGCCCCTCTTTGATCCAATCTTCTACTTTTTACCTCTCTGTTTTATCTTATTGTGACTTGTCAGTATAATATACCATGGGACAAAAAATGAGACACCATTTTAGACATGTGATTTATGTCCATATTGGAGACCAATGTGAATAGTTACCACAGTTATGAGTTAAGACTTAAGAGGCTAGCACATGGATGTGTTCCAATAGCATTTGGTCGAGATGGTTGGTTAAAGGATTTTATGATCCTAATACTTGTAATCTTCAAGATAAAAAGTTTATTGTTCTTATGTGTAAGGGCGATAGGGTGAAGTTTTGATTTGTCTGTTTGGATTCGGGCAAGAGCCAACCTTGGATTGCCTTAGATGGGCACCTGAAAAGGCAATCTGGCAATGCTTAAGTCAGTATAAGTGAATGTAGGTAGAGAGAATGCAGAGTAAGAGTCTAATGTGAGAGAGCAAGTGTAACTGTGTAACTTATGAAGAGACACAAAGCTTTATCCAGGGCGGATCATTTTGTCGCCTATCCAGGCTGCTGTAGCCGTATATTAGGCATGTCCTTGCAGCCACAATGTTCAGACGACGTGTTCGACTTTGTAGCTGAGTCTGTGTTTTTTCAAGCGGCTTGTCAATCTTGTAGTAGTATAGGTATGTGGTTTTACAGGTGCTGACTAGGTCACGTCTTGTCAAAGTTATCATTTCTCTTAGCTAGACGGATCATTCAGGCGTGATTGGCAGCCACCTGGGTCAGATTTTATTTGTTTGGTGATGGGATATGGTCCCACGAGTAAGCCGATGTTAGATAGTGAAGAATTTTATTATCCTGGATGCAATATGGCTTATCATGTAACATTGCAATCTTGAAGTACCTTTTTAGTTCCTACACTTTTTTCAATTTATATAAAAACTATAAAACAATATTTAATTTTCCCTGGTTGAATTTTATGGTGCTGTAATGGAAGCACCATGCTCCATTGCATGGAATATTCTGTGAGGAAGTTGCTAGGAAACTTAAAGGGATAGAAGAGTTGTGAATGTATTTTATATGGTCTAGGCAATCCAAAGACTTATTCAGTCAATGGTTGTTGCTGGGTCAAGTTGTCAACAGTGCTTCTCTTTCCCTACTTAACTTTTCTATGGTCTCTGTTTCTCTCACCTTAGTTTTGTTTCACAATTGTTTTTCCCCCTTGTGATGAAAGTGGAATAGATTATAGATCACTTTTAAGCCACTCTTAGTTATTGTTGGTTAATTAAACTCATCTTCATGATTTGTGTTGTGCTGCTGCATGTGTTTTGCTTCCTTGTGTTTTCAAGTCTTGTACAATTGGTGTCAGCTACAAAATGTTTACCTTCACTTAACTGTGGAGATCTCGGCAAAATTAGTTTCCCTTTCACTGACACACAACACCAGGACTGTGGCATATTGATTATACATGGTTGTGATGATCCTGAACCTAATATCACAAAATCTATAAAGAACAATAACAAATGGTTTGATGTTGTCAACATTCAACAGTATTCGATTACGATTACAGACAATGATCTCCGCGAACTCTTGATGACAAAAAGTTGTGGTGTCTTCAGTTATGATTCAGCTTTCACTATTAGCTCACCTTTTGCTTCTTCTCAAACAAATTTTTACTCAAACCTTCTCACATGCAATCACATCCTTGATCCTAAGGACTTCAATTTTGCTTATAATTCTACGCTATGCGGAAATGATACTTTCTATGACATCGGAATGGCCTACAATAATTTCATAGGTTGCTCAATGGCTCAGCTTCCAGTGAGCTATGTTCGAGGTTCTAGTGACATTTTCGATGTGATAACTTATGAAGTCCAATTTGAAATAGTTTTGACTCCAGATTGTTTAACTTGTCACAATGTCCATGAAGGCCAATGTCGAGTTGATAGCAGTGGAAAGTTTTATTGTGACCAAGGTACAGGCCTAGTCATATCCAAAACAAACAAAATTTTATGGTTTTCTTCTTATCACATTCCTCTTCTCTATTTTTTTGTCCCTCCCTTAACACATGAAACCCGAGCCGGACGTCAAGCCGGAAGAACTTCCGTATTAAGTCTAACTGGTTTAACCAGTTAAGCTGTTCGATCGGATCGGATGATTTTAAATATAATTAATAATTTTTATCTATAATTATATATAAATGTAAATTTTATATAACTATATTGAAGTATCATATCTCTATTATTTTTGGACCGAAATAAACAAAACATTAGAGTAATGTTCCATTTTTTTAAATTTTAAGTGAGCCATTCGGTTTTCTTCATGGGTTATTCCGGTTTAACCGGGTTTAGCACGGTCGAACCGGAATTTCTCCGATTCAAAGCGGTCTAACTACTCATTCGGTTAAGACTACAAAACGGAGCCGTTTTCAAGTCCGGTCAGTGATCGAACCGGTCGGACCGTCCGGTCCGGTTATCACAACACTGCTTAACACTATAGCTGGGATGAATTGTTTTCTTTCAGTTCTTTTTGCTGTATGAAGAAGTATCAAATATCTACTAATGATCATCTAATTCATTAGTATTTCCAATTTTGCAGGAAATAGAGCAAAGATCTATAACATAGTGGCACCAGGTAAATAACACTCAACATTAGTACTAAATCTTCAGACGAATATGTAGTAATGTTTTAAAATTTTCCTTTATTTGAAAGCCTGAATAGAGAAATGGAAGCAATAATTTTGAAAAGTTAATTTCTGAAAAAAACTTATTCTTCAAAGGTTAAGTTTCTGATAAATTCTGTAGTTGCATCTGTGGCTGGAGCACTTGGAGTTGTGATAGTCTTGGCTTGGTGCTTTAGAAGACGCATTTGCAACAAGGAAAACCCAACCCACCAAATAATTGAGATGTTTCTGAAAGATCATGGTCACCTTGCAGCCAAAAGATACAGTTATTTGGAGATAAAGAAGGCGACGAACTCGTTCAGAAATAAATTAGGTAAAGGAGGATATGGTAGCGTATACAAAGGGAAGTTACATGATGGAAGTCTTGTGGCAGTAAAGGTGTTAAGTGAGTCCAAAGGTAATGGTGAAGAATTTATCAATGAAGTTGCTAGTATCAGTGTTACTTCTCATGTTAATATTGTTACTTTACTTGGATTCTGTTTAGAAGGTTCTAAAAGAGCTCTCATATATAAATATATGCCTAATGGATCAGTTGAGAAGTTCATATATAAAGTTAAGGAACCAACAAATATCAATCTTCATTTGAGTTGCAAGGGCATCTTTAACATCGCTCTTGGCGTTGCTCGTGGACTAGAGTATCTGCACAACGGTTGCAACACAAAAATCGTGCATTTCGA